AGAAGAACTGACGCTTTTGAGTTACGGTGTTGGAGGAGAATATTGAAAGTGCCATGGGCTGCCAAAAGAACCAATAGATCCGTTTTGGAAGAAGTGCCACCAAAATGCTCCTTGGGGACCAGGATGGCCAAACTTGGTTTCTCACACTTCGGACATATTGTCAGGAGGGACCAGTCACTGCAGAGAGATATCATGTTTGGTAAGGTGGAGGGTCAGAGAAAAAAGAAGACCCCCAACAAGATAGATTAGGCAAGTGGCATCATCGATGGACTCAAGCGTGGCAACAGTGGTGAGGTTGGCCCAGGATTGGGCAGTGTTTTGTTCTGCTGTGCATAAGGTCGCTTTGGGTCAGTACTAACTCAATGATACCTAACAACAATAACAATATGATTTCTGAGGAGCTGGTGGTGGGTTTGTACCACAAACCTTTTAGTTCAAGCTGATCATGTGGTTCTAGTACTTTATCTTATAGTACTGTACCAGGACTCTGAATTAGTATTATTAATTGACAGTTCACGGTGACTAAATTAAGAGAGCAACTCCACTCTTAAAAAAGGTGCTCTGATAGCATAGTGGTTACGATTTGGGCTGCCAACTTTAAGGTCAGCAGTTCAAAACTACCAGCGGTTCTGTGGGAGAAAGATGAGGTGTTCTGCTTCTGTAAATTTTTACAGCCTCGGAAACCCTGTACAGGGTCACTGTGAGTCAGAACCGACTCCACAGTACTTACCAACACTCTTAAAGCCTAAGTGTCTTTTTCTGTGGCTTGCCTATTAGCATCATTACGTATATAGAATGAAACCTTGCGGAAAATGCAACTTCTACTTTTACCTTTGTGACTTTGACACTCTGTACCCAGAGAAATTTCCATCATTGTGGGATTTATTCCACACACTTTGGCTCATGCTGTTTGTACTTATAGTCACTTTTGAAGAAGCATTTTGTCTCTAATACTTCAGGAGTCATCAGTGCTTAGAGAAGGCCTCAAGCTTGGTAAATTGGAGGGTCAGCAAAAAAAAAAAAGGAAGACACCCAATGAGATGGTTTGACACACTGGCAGCAGTAATGGGCTCAAAAGCAATAACAGGTGACTTAGGACCCGGCAGCACTTTGTTGTTTGGCATAGGATTGCTATGAGTCGGAACTGACTCGACAATATTTAGCAACAACTGTACGTTTTAGCAAGCTCAAATTTTCAAAAAAAAAAAAAAATTATAAAATGTCTGGAGAGTTGACCAAACACAGAATTGTTATAATCAAACCATGTTTTCCCCTGGTTTCTATTATGGATTCAGGTATGCCTGCCTTGTAAGTTATTTCCTTTCTAAAATGGTACCCATTCAGAGGTTCTGAGAAGTATATTGATCAGTGGTTCCTAAATTTGAGCCCTGTTTAGGGGCTGCATGTAAGTCACTTAGGAAACTGAAATAATATGGATTCTCAAACCCTGTCCCTGGAGAGTCTGCTGCAGTAGGCCTGCATGCTTTTTGTTCAACTGCTGCTTCTCTATTTATATTGACAGTTGAAGTCTATCTATATTGGATAAAGTTTGGAGTGAGGCTTTAGCATTAGACAGATTGGCTTTGATTCCAGACTTAGCCATTTCCTGTGTGTGTAACCTGTGGTACACCTCGACCGTTCATTTGTAAAATGGGAACAGGAGTTTTTGCCTCATAAGTTGATGGTGAGGATTGAGTAACAACAGAAGCCTGAAATGTATCGCTGTGCCTGATACCTCAGTGAATGTTAATTAGTCATGTTCTTATCTCTACATTACATATATTTTGGCATATTTTTAAAAATCTTTTGTTTTAATGCTTTATTGTGTTATGTGATAGTTTACAAGGGAGTACATTAACTTCACATTGATCCCATTGTATATCATTTCCTTGCCATGGTTATAATCCCCTCCATGCATCATCCACCAAACACAGGGTATAGGCTACAAGCCTTCCCTCTGGTATCTGCACACAGCTCCTCTCCCTCGCTGGGTCCAAAGTCCCCAGCCGCTCCATCTCTCCATGTCATCATCTCTGCCTCCATCTCTGGCATCACTGCTTCTCTGGGTAGGGTCCCGCTCTCCGCTCTTCTCCCTTGATGATCCCAGGGACCTCTGCTCCAAGACTGCAAAGTTAATCCCTCCTCTCCCTTTGCCACAAAATGTTTACCTTTACATTTCCAGCCCTTAAAATCAGTCCTGATAACAATTATTCACCATTGCATCACAAGAGACCTATCCACATTTCCTTTCATCAGCCCTGCCCAGACAGATTGGATACTACTAAGTGGAGATTCTACCTTGCTCCACGCCCTCTGGATCTAGGTTCTCTCTTGAAAGCTTGTAAGCCTCTGTAGCCCCCCTATTCTGGGTAGCCAATGTCCCAAGTTTCCCATTCCTGTCCTCTCCATGTGTGGAGGGGTGGGAATAATCCTCCGTGTGAAGACTTGTTTCCTCTTTTGAGCTACTGCTTCTATAGGTGTAGGTCAAGTTCATCTTGTATCAGATTATTCTTTTTTTGGCATATTCTTGTGTATCATTTTTCCTAATATGTCTGCAATTTTCCTTGAAAGGTTCAGAGAAACAGATAAAATTAAACAGGAATTGGTATAATATGTTGTTTCTGGTTGGAAAAGAAGGTATCAGTCAGAGTTATGGGTAGGATTCCCTGAGAGATGCTGTGGAGAATTTCCTCTACCAATACTGAATGACTGCTTCTATCTTAAATTTGTTTTTCTCAAATTGACTTACAGCGGAGATCAAAATCTGTTTTAAATACTACCACGGCATCAGCGGAGCCCTGCGAGCCACGACCCCCTGCATCACGGTGAAGAATCCTGCTGTGATGGTGAGTGCCTTCCTTACCAGCTTCCTCATCATGACCACAGAGGAACTTGGCTTCTATTTTCGTCTGTACAGCTTTGGCAGGGTTCTGAGGAACAATGGAAAAGGAAACACTTAACAGCATGGGTACCATTTTAGAAAGGAAATAACTTACAAGGCAGGCATACCTAAATCCATAATAGAAACCAGGGGAAAACATGGCTTGATTATAACAATTCTGTGTGTAGTCAACTCTCCAACGAACCTATTCATGAGGCAAAGTGGAAGCCCATCATGGAAGCTTTCAGACTTAGTGTAGATGACTGGTGGGCAGGAAACAGTAGCCTTGTATCTTACATGAGCATAACTAATGTAATTAATTTAATTTATACAAATTCAGTTGTACTTCCTTAAAATACAGAAGTGTAAGTAGAAGAGAGAAAAATAATTTAAACATTGTGTGATTCTATCCGTCAATCTACTTCAGAAGTTTCTGCCCCAAAGAGAGTGTGAAATGAAAGTCTGGAATGTGTTGTCCTCTCAAAAGGTCCTTGTACAGAATCCATCTCCATGATGAGTTGGTTTGGTGATCTCGTAACTAAAGGCACTGTACATATTTTTAGTATGACACACCTTCTAAATGGAAGCCAAACTCTTCATCAAGCCTGTAAGTGATGAAATTGTCATTTAATATCGTTTGAGAGGAAGCTGGTTGTGTTACATTTTACAACATGGCACTTTGCTTAGGATTGCTTTTCACAATGTGGGTTTTCACTTGATAAAATGACAGCTTTAGAATCTAACAGCCGTACAAGATGCAGCTCCATTGTACATCAGTGGTTGGATTCAGATGACCTTTGGAGAGTCTTAGGATTTAAGATATGCAATCATTGCAGGTTTTATGAGTCATTCATAAAACTCAAGTCACAAAAGTATTGGGACAAAAACTATTTATTTCTGTAATGTAAGGCCTTAACAACCTTGTGTGTGTGTGTACACATGTATACATATATGCTTTGTGTAAATAGGCAAGTGGCCAACTGACTCTCTCAAGTTCAGAAAATGATCTCTGCATTTTGAAACTGTCCAAAAACACCCATGGGAAGCTTTCTAAAATAGTGCCTGTGTCTCTGTAATGAGCAATCTTTTCCTTTCATTTATTCATTCAACAGATATTTATTGGGTAGGATAAAGCATTAGACCACAGATCAGTTTGAAACACAAGGTCAGCAGTTCAAACTCACCAGCCGCTCCTTGGAAACACTATTCAAGGTTGCTGTAAGTCAGAACCAACTCGACAGCACTCAACAACAATAACAACTAAGTACCAGGCTTTGTGCCCAACACTAGGGGTAAAATAATGAGCAAAAACATTATCCTTTTTCTTATTGGTCTGGTAGGAAATGGGAGATCAATTCTGTTGTATTTTTGTGAGTAATCATAGCTATGAGGGAAAGTGAAATGGGGCTGAGGGAACATAGACTACTGAGGTTTGACCTGGTCTTTACGATCAAGTAGACTTCCCTGAGGTAACATGTTTGAGGGACAAAATGAAGGATGAGGAACAATTACTTCCATGAAGAGGGGAGGCAAGAACATTTTAGGCAAAGAAAACTATTGTTAGGTGCTGTTGAGTCGACTTAGAACAACCCTATGCACAACAGAATGAAACACTGCCTGGTCCTGTGCTTTGTAATATAATGAAACTCCTCTTTGAAGTAGTAATAAGAAATGAAAGGCTAGCCCACATTACTCTTTAAGACTTTGAAAGTCACAAGGACCAGAAAGAACAAAGTTTGGTTAATATTCTAAAAAGAAAACATATAAAACTTGAATTTAACCTTTGAGGACTTAACTGTGCGTAAAATTAGACAGTAGCTTCCAAACTTGATTAAACATATTCAAGAGTCAGATTTTCTGAGACTTGAGCAACTTCAGTATCTAGAAATTATTGAGACAGTAGAGTTTACTGCCTAATGAACATTGATCTCATTCTATTGATTTTGAATTGAGATCACTCTGTCAAAGCCTGTGGATGGTTTAGAGATAATTAATTTGCCTCAAATAGGTTTTAGGGCTCTTTAAAAGCTTCATAGACACTGTACTGAGAATCAGAAAACCATGGGCCAAAGGCTGGCTAATGGATTTGGTGGTCAGTAGATTTCTGACTGAGCTTGAGGCAGTTGACTGTGTATCTGAAATTGAGAGGCTGTGCCGTGTGGGTCTTTCTCTCTGTGGGTGAGCTGTGTGTTTCGATCACAGCATAATGGTCCACATGTGTACATAACATGTATTTAGTTATTGTTGGTTCAAAACATTGATACCCACAAAGACCACTTAGTATAATTATTCCACGTCCAGATAAAAAGAATAGACAGAGAAGAAGTAACTGAGAAACTCCATGAGGAAGGAAATGAGCTGTCAGCCTAATTGTGTGGTTTCCTTTCTGACATATCCTTTTGCAATGAATCAATGATTTAAAAAAAAATGTGCCTTCTCTGTCATTTGTGCTTTGACGTCACTGTCCTTCATTAGTGCGCATGGTGATATGTTCTTCAGACCTTTGGAACAGGAAATCCTTAGGTTTGGCAACAGATTAAGGCTGCCATCACTCACTACCATGTATTGTTGCAACACTCAGTTGAAGGTGTAGCATCTGAATTTTCCTGAGATAAATCTGTGTGAGTGAGTTTGTTTAAAAATATCTCTGAACTTTGAGTGAAGATGTGTTTATTATCATTAAAGTCCCTGAATCTTGTAATGTTTGCTCTTTCTTGGTTTTATAATGAGCAATAAAATTGAATTTTTTTGAGAATTGTTTTAGATAAGTGTGTTGCCACTGTGGTGGAGAAGGATGCTGTTTACCAGTGGATTCTTTGAGAATTGTCTCAGCTTAACTTTTTGCCAGTGAATGAATCACATTTTCAGGATGACAATCAGAGGGTGTGTTTTGTTTCTTATCATTCGTGGTAATGTTTTAAGTTGGTTTTAAATGAAGACAGGCTGGGATCTTTTCAGTGTCATTTAACTCACTTAACATGACCATCCTGTAGCGGGCCAGGATGCCTTGCTCTTGGGTGGGGGCGGAGGGCACAGCTTAATAGACAGAGTGGCTTATTTGAGGTCAGGCCAGGGTTTGTCAGATATCAGGCCAGTGACTGAGTTTCTATCTCGGTGGTAGTCTGTACTGTCTTATCTACCTTTCTCTTCTTTAGAGACACTGAACAAGGGAGCCACAGCATCTGCTTATCTGGCCAGTTTGCTGCAGTCTCTGTTCTAGCTAGACTTGGGATGCAGAGTCAGAAGAGTGCAATATAATGATAATAATGATGATGATAAGACACTGGTTGCTGTTGAGTGAGTTTTGACTCACAGTGACCTCATAGAGCTATGTTCCATAAGGTTTTCAATGAAGTCCTGGTGTGGTGCTGTGGGTTAATGTGCTGGACTGCAAAGTCGATTTGAACAAAACGTCGGAGGTTCAAGCTAACCAGCTGCTCCTCGGAAACACTATACAGGGTCAGGATGAGTTGGAACTGACTCGAAAGCACTTAACAACAACAATCTTACAGGACTCCCCGAATGGCATAAAGAGCTAAGTGGCTACTCATTGAAATGTTGACGATTTGAACAGAGGCACCCTAGAAGACAAACGTAGTGTTCTACTTTGGAAAGATCACAGCTTTGAAAACTATGTGGAGCAGATCTACTCTGCACACACGGGAACATCATGAGTTGGAATTAATTGGGTGGCAACTGACAACAATCTTATGGAAGTAGATATCTAAGCTAGTGGGTGCTGCTGGATAGAGTCAAACTACCAACCTTTTGGTTAGTAGTCAAGTGCTTAATCATTTGCACTACTCAGTTTAGCCTTATAATAAGCTTCACATATTTGTTGAAAGGTATCTCTGTGACAATGAAGGAATTTGTTCTATGTGTGCAATTAATGTACTTGATTGATAATTTAGGGTAATGAACTGGCATGGGAAGCAATCAGCTGAATGCTATTAAGAGTCACATTACATAGTCTTGACTGGTGTGGTGCTGTAGGATAAACATTGCATCGCAAGGTTGGCAGTTCAAACTTAGCAGCTGCTCCTTGGAAACCCTATTCAGGGTCCCTATGAGTTGGAACAGACTTCTATAGCACTTAATAACAACAACAAGGTGTTGCAAGGGAACCCTGGTCGTGAAGTGGTTAAGCACATGTCTGCTAACCAAAAGGTTGGTGTTTAAAACCAAACAACTGCTCCACAGGAGAATGATGAGACATCTACTTCTGTAAAGATTACAACCTTGGAAACCCTATGGGGCAGTTCTCCTTTGTCCTCTAGAGTTGCTATAAGTTGTAACTGACTCACTGGTTTGGGCCTTCCTTTTAAGCTTCAGTAATTACAGAGGGCTCACTCAACTCACTGTCAACTAGATGACTCCAACTCATAGTTCCTGAGGGTTTCTATTTTTACAGGAGCAGACAACCTCATCTTTCTCCCATGGAGTGTCTGATGGATTTGAACTTCCAACCTTATAATTAGCAGCCCAGTGCTTATCCTACAGGGCCATCAGGACTCCTTAATTATAGAGAAGGAAGTAGAATTTTTATTTCCAAAATTTGAATCGAATTTCTTCAGACATTGCTCATTTTTGCTTCCATTATGGCCTGATGACCTATGATTTTGATAACTGTAGAGGGCAATAAGGGTAAGATGGAGGAAGGTTTAATCTCAACTTCAGAATTCAAATGTGATTTCTGTTCTCCAACTCTACAGATTACAGTCCTCCTTTAATTCTGTTGATTACATTATTTTGAATGTCATTTCCAGTGTTCAATGAAGCCCTTTCTTCCTGTTGTTGTTGTTAGGTGCCATCGAGTTGGTTCTGTTAGACATGAATCCTGACGTCACACAAAAAGACATGTGGTGATACTAAATTACCTCGGCAAGACAAAATTTACTTCTGCAGAAGGGTGCATGTGTGAAGTTGTGTAGGAACAGGCCAGCGAGCACACTGAGTGAGCAGTCCACTCAGATTTTATCCCTGATGCAAGTCTCACCCCATCGGCTGGGGCTTTGACCGCACAGTTTTTTCCCTTACCTGGTTGGCTAATTCAAATTTCTAAGACTCACATTCTTCTTACTCACTTCAGCAAGTAGTAAAAAGTAAAAGAAAGGTCATACAGTCCCTACTCCATTCAGGAAGTAGTAAAAAAGTAAAAGAAATATCATAAAGTCCCTACTCACTTCAGGAAGAAAGAAAAGTAAAAGAAAGTTTACCTGAATACAATAAACAGGATTATAATAATTTTGAAAAAAACACAGTCATACCTATGCACAACAGAATGAAACACTGCCCGTTTCTGGGCCAACCTCACAATTGTTGCCACACTTGAGCCCAAAGACGCTGCCATTTTGTCAATCCATCTTGCTGGGAGTATTCCTCTTTTTCTTACCCTCTACCTTACCAACCACGATATCCCTCTCTAGTGACTAGTGCCTCCTGACAATATATCTGAAGTATGAGAGACGAAGTCTGGCCATCCTGGCTTCCAAGGAACACTCTGGCTGCACTTCTTCCAACACAGATCTGTTTGATCTTTTGGCAGCCCATAGTACTTTCAATATTCTCCTCCAACACCATATCTCAAAAGCATCATTTTTTCTATGATCATCCTTATTCAGTGTCCAACTTTCTTATACATATAAGGTTATTGAAAATACCATGGCTTGCGTTAGGCATACCTTAGTCCTCAAGCTGACATCTTTGCTATTCAACACTTTAAAAAAGGTCTTGTGCAGCAGATTTACCTAGTGCAATATGTCGTTTGATTTCTTGGCTGCTGCTTCCATGAGTGTTGATTGTTGATCTAAGCAAAATGAATTCTTTAACAACTTAAATCTCTTCTCCATTGATATGATTATTGTTTATTGGTCCAGTGGTGAGGATTTTTGTTTTCTTTACATTGAGATGCAACCCATACCGAAGGCTATGGTCTTTGATCTTCATCAGTAAGTATTTTAAGTCCTCTTCACTATCAACAAGCAAGATTGTATCATCTGCATATCGCAGGTTATTAATGAATCTTCCTCCAATCCTGATGCCACATTTATCTTCATATAACCCAACTTCTAGGATTATATGTTCAACATACAGGTTGAATAAGTATGGTGAAAGAATACAACCTTGTCACACACCTTTCTTAATTTTAAACTGTTCAGTGTTCCCATGTTCTGTTCCAACAACTGCCTCTTGGTCTATATACAGGTTCCTCATGAGCACAATTAAGTGTTCCAGAATACTCATATTTCACACTGTTGTCCACAGTTTGTCGTGTTCCAGACAATCAAAGGCCTTTGCGTAGTCAATAAAGTACATGCAAACATCTTTCTGGTATCCTCTGCTTCCAGTCGAGATCCATCTGATGTCAGCAATGATATCCCTCGTTCCACATCCTCTTCTGAATCCGTCTTGAACCACTGAAAGTTCTCTGTCAATGTATGATTGTAGCCATTTCTGTATTATCCTGAAGAAATCTTTACTTGCATGGGATATCAAAGATATTGACCGATGATCTCATTCCGTTCCATCACCTCTCTTTGGAATGGGCACAAATATGGATCTCTTCCAATCAATTGGTCAGATCAAAAAATTGTACAGTAGCTGTATATAAGTTGAGAGAAGGACCCGAATCTACTCTGTGCTCTCTCAATTACTGGTTTTGAGTGAGCTAAAATTTACTTGAAAACTTTTAAGTTTGGTTATGAAAGGTTTTTTTTTTGTTGTTGTTGTTGTTTTTAAGTGCTGTTGAGTCAGTACAGACTCATAGCAACCCTTTATAGGGTTTCCAAGGAAAAGCTGGTGACCTTGAACCGCCGACCTTGCGGTTCAAAGAGACCTTGTAGTCCAGTGCATTACACCACAGTGCCATAGGTTAATGTAATCCAATAATCCAATGGTACTGCAAGTGCATGCTAGCACTACTAATAACTACATGTGCCATGTACCTGCAGCACAACAAAACATACACTTGCCAGGGAGAAGGGACACCCATGTAATTGCTCTGAAATATTTGGCAAGAAAGAAAACTTATTTTTAGTGAATGGGTCTGATATAAATCAACTCTTCAGTATATTCTAGGTTTTCCTAAGAAATTTGAAGGATTTGATGTTTAGTTTTTAATTTAAGGGAAGGTTTTAATGTAGTAACTAGTAATTTGATTACATTTACTACATTATCAGCTACAATTTCTTATCAAAAGAAGGAAAAAAAAAAAAAAAAAAGGAAAGACATAAAGTAAGTTGGTTTCTACCCCAGGGAATTTAGAAGTTCAGATTTGTCTGATTCTGTGTAAAGATTAAATTTAAGAATGACACTTTCTTGACCTTTGAGAATCTTTATTTGGGTCTCAATTCTAGTACTTGAATATGAAAAAACATATGCTACAATACAGACTTAATACAATAGTCGCTGTTTGCAATCATACGTGATTACTGAGGGGAGTTGGGGAGCAGTGTTGTACTTGTGTGAAACTTCAGATACTTGCTTTTCCTCTTTAGATGGGGGCAGAAGGCATGGAAGGAGGTGCTTCAGGAAGTCAGTATTCTAAGAAACTCGTTAACTTTACACTATCAGGTAAGTACGTCTTTATCATGACATCCCATTTCAAACATGTCATTTCAAAGGCATGGATAGTCACTTGTTTCTACATTTCTTATACAGTTGCTGTGTTGTTAAGTGCTGTTGAGTCGGTTCCTATGTAGGGTTTCCAAGGAGAAGCTCGTGGGTTTGAACTGCTGACTGCAGTTCAGTGCTTATCCTACAGCACCAAACCAGGACTCTTATACTAGAGGGCGTCAACAAGTTTGTGAAAAAATGGAATGTAAAAATAATGGAATTTTTCAGTAAGCTTTTTGATGCCCCCTGAATATGTGATTGAGTCAGGGCATTTTGGTTTTGCTTTTGTTTATTTTTGAGAGTTCAAGTATGTATCTTATCATAATAAAATTAGATTATTAATATAAATTCAGAAATTATTTGTTCTACCAAGTTTTCTGGTAATAAAAAGACTATATGAATATAATTATGTATAGTTGCTTTAAAAAGTAAACTATAATGTAATTCCATGAAGAGCTTTGGTTAGTGAAAATAATTTAAGCTTGCTTCATCTTTAAGGAAAGGAAAAACATTGAAGACTCTGGGGAAAAAAGCCAAAGAATACATTTGTTTCTGTGGAAGAATACACAATTACAAAGTGTCTAGGATACTTTATTGTTGTTTTTCTGAGTAGTAAAATATCCCAGTTGTGGCTTTAGCATACAACTTAATACGATACTTTCAAATTGTGAGTTGGGACCCATTTGTGGGTTGTAATATCAATAAAGAGTCCCGGTGGCTACTAACTGAAGGTTAGCAGTTCAGACTCACCCAGCAACCTGGCAATCTGCTGCCGTAAAGAGAATAGTCTAGTACCTTATGGGGCAGTTCAACTCTGCTCAAGGAGTTGCTCTGCATCAAAAATCAATCAACTGAATGACTCTTAACAAGATTGAGTTCGTTACTTGAAAGCAACAGATTTTTTAAAATGAATATAGTGGAAAATATCAGCCTATCATCAAAAGGAAATACAATTTTGTAAAACATAAACTTATATAAATTGATCATTTTTTTAAAAAGCATGTATGTGTGTACTGGACTGCAATGTAAAATGGATTTCATATGTAGGAACTATTTCATAGTATAAGAAACAAAAATAGTTTGAAAGCTACTGATTAAAAAAATAATTGACGTCAAGCCAAGAATAGTCTAATAAAAGAATCCACCTTCTCAGATTATTTGCTCAGTGTACAGATTGAATTAGTAAAGGAATACAACCCTGGCACATAACTTTCCTAATTTTAAACCATTCAGAATTTCCTTGTTCTGTTCAAATGACTGCTTCTTGATCTATGTATAGGTTTCTCATGAGCACAATTAAGTGTTCTGGGGTATCCATTCTTCACAATGTTATCCTTGTTGTTGTTGTAAAGTGCTGTCGAGTCAGTTCCGACTCAAAGTGACCTTGTATAGGGTTTTCGAGGAGCAGTTGGTGAGCTTGAACCACCAGTCTTGAGGTTCAACCTGACCTTGCAGTCTAGCACATTAACTCCACAGTGCCACACAATCCATGCAGTTGAAAAACTGTATTGTTGTTGTTGTGTGCCGTGGAGTCGGTTCTGACTCATAGCAACCCTACACAGGGTTTCTGAGGCTGTAAATCTTTACGGGAGCAGAAAGCCTCATCTTTCTCCCACGGAACTAATGGTAGTTTCGAACTGCTGACCTTGTGGCTCACAGCCCGATTCATAACCACTACAGTCTAGCACATTAACTCCACAGTGCCACACAATCCATGCAGTTGAAAAACTGTATATCCAGTGTTAAACAGCATTATACTGCATACAAGGAACCCTGGTAGCACAGTAATTAAGTGTTCAGTGGTTCAATCTCAACAGCTGCTCTGTGGCAGATGTGGTATAGTCAGTGTCAATAAATATTTCAGTCTTGGCAAACCTTTGGGATTGTTTTACACTGTCCTTTAGGGTTACTCTGAGTTGGAATTATCCAACAATACAAAACAATAACAACGCATACAAAATAAAAGTCTAACAGACTTCTGTAACTCTAAGATGTTTTGTTTGCAGTGCTTCTAAAACTTAAATTCGATCCATTTTTCTTGATTGCACAAAAGTTATGAATGAAAATAAAAGTTTATCACAAACTTTGTGCAGTCAAGAAAAATGTTAGAAGACTTATCCTGAAAACAAGATATTTGCACAATGAGTAATTAGCCCATGTGAAGAGAGCAAGCACATTAGTTCATTGTTAATCCATATTGTTGTTGTTGTTGTTGTTGTCAGGTGCCATCGAGTCAGAACCGACTCATAGCAACCCCATGCACAGCAGAACGAAACAATGCTCTATCCTGGGCCAACCTCACCACCGCTGCCACCCCTGAGTCCATCAATGATGCCACCTGGCCGATCCATCTCGTTGGGGGTCTTCCTCTTTTTCTCTGACCCTCCACCCTACCCAGCATGACATCCTTCTCCAAT